CGCTAAGTCTCCAAACATCAGGACTGCCACGCTCTCTCTACTCCATGCCTTGGGCTTGTGGTAGAGACATTGCTCCTTGTCTGGGGGACCAGAGAGCCCCCTCATCCCTGCCGTCTCCCTTGTCCATCCCGCAGGACTTTTGCTGCCCACGGCAGAAAGATAATGCAGCGGAGTGTTAAACAGCCAAGTTAGTCCTGGCCTGGGACTGTTGCAGCGCTCATAAGCTGGGCGAGAGCCAAGGGAAAGGGCAAGCCTGCCTCATGCCAGCTGGCACCGCAGGGGTGGAGGTTCATCCCAGTGAGCTTGGCAGCGAGATGCCCTTGGCTGAGGCGCTTTTGGCTCAACAGGGCAGTGTCTCGGCTGATCCTGCCACGTCACGCACAGGGAGCCAGCGGACTTTGCACACTGGTCCCAAAGGCTGCCTGTCCCCTCAGTTCTCCGGGGAGATCCTCTCCAAGGTTGCAGAGCAAAGCTCAGTTTCTCTCAGAGTGAGCATAAGTGCGTCTGGCCAAAGCACTGGGTACACAGCTGCACTCCCAGCGTCGTGCCTGGGAGGGAGCCAGGACTGGCTATTGGAAGGGGCCAGCACCCCTGGGGGATGTAGGAGGATGTAATGTGTCTCATCCTCTTCCATCAGGCAGAGAGTGCCAGGACCAAAGCAGTGGCTCTGACGATGACTGTATGGGCCATGGATCACGATAGCCAGGTGAGCAGACACATGTGCCTAACATTTGACCCTTCTCTGGCCCAAATAAAGCAACACAGGGACACCTCCCTTCTGGGGCCTCCTCCACACCAGGAACGAGGCATTGCAGTCTGGGGCCTGTGAGCATGAGGGGTGATCTGTCCTGTCTGTTGTGGGATCCCAGGTGAGGACATTTGCCCAGCACTGCGTTCCCCAGGGCATTTGGAAGGGGCTGGGGTATTTGCTGCCATGCTTCCCTGGTCCTACAGCCCCTTACTTGCCCTGCGTGGGCTTTGATCTCACTCTCACACAGGTCTCTGGAGCAGAGCATCTCAGCAGTGCAGACCCCAGCCTGGTGCTTCACTCAGACCTGAGCTCCATGTCTGGCTGAAGATCCCGCACGGTTCACAGGACAGCGCTCTCCAAACCAGAGCTGAGCCACTAGCTGCAGCACTGGGGAGCTTTGGACATGAGACTAAATTAGCCACTCTGGCATAGGAGAGGTCATGCTAACAGCAGCCTGGGAGCTTCTGAATTTCAGTGGTGTTTGCTGATATCTCATCTCTGGGCTCCGTGCATTTATTGCCAGGCTCAATAGGTATGGGGCGAATCCATCCCTGGATCACGGGGCTGCAGGCAGTCAATACCAGCCTTGCAGGGGCGACAGCTGGTCAGGAACGACCAGGTGGGGGTGCAAGACTTGGTTTTGGGAATAAAGAGGATGGAGCAGGGTGTCTCTCCTCCTTCAGCACAACACCTCCAGCTACCTGCAGACTCTAGAAGGACTCCAGTCAGTAGTGGGGGGAACTGAATCAGGTCCTTGAGGACTCCTGGCTTCAGGGGAGACTCCAGAGCTGAGGCAGTGCCTGGCCCCTGGAGCTGGGAGGAACTGGGAGGACTCCACAGTCCCATGACTGCAGTGGATCTCTCTGGGTTTCTTTGGGGATCAGGGAGGATGCGGACTGGATCAATGGGGGCTTTCAGTGCTCCACAGAGACCAGCAGCAAGGAGAGAACTATGGGAACAATTGCAGTAATTCCTGGGCTCTTTATGCATAGTCTAGTATTAATTCAATATTAAAGTGATGGGCACACTTCTTTGAATTCTTCTCCAGCTTCTCCAGCACGGGCGCAGCCTCACAGCCCACTTTCACAAGGCTGCATCCATCTGCCCAGGGTCACCACCACATCCCTGCTCTCAGGGGCACAAGGGGTGCTGCGGAGGAGCCCTGGGGCAGCCCTCCTGGCTGCTCAACACCGGGACCATAGGGCTGTAGGGAAGCCTTGTAACCTGAGCTTTGGTTTCTCCCAGGTTCCAGGGTGAAATTCTACCTCAACCTCAGGCACTTGGCTCTGCTGTGGAAGGGGGAGGGAGCCTGTGTCTGAGCCTGTATCTGCCCAGTCCAGACAGTTGGGATGATTTCCTAGCAGGCACCTGGCCGTTGCACCTCCCACCATCTCATCTTTCAGGCAGGCTCAATCCCAGCCATCTATTGCAGGGCTGAGAGTTTGAAGCTGAGAGCTGGTTCTTCCATTGAATTAGGGAACAAATGGGTAATTGTTAGCATAAACTATTGTAGCTAGCAACTCCGATAGCATAGATGCTGTTGCAAGCATAATAGAATGTTTGGCAAAGACACTGTAACCCTATTGTTAGCGGAAGTTACAAAAATTGGGTAGATAACAGAAACTTGAATGTATACACTCAGTGACCATCTGGTTGAAACCAGCCTTGCGGTCTGAAGCTCAGCCAACTCAGCATTCTGGGCCAAAGGTGAAGGTACCCGGTGAAGAAGACTGTGCATCTTCCTCCAAAAGACCCCAATAGACGACCACCAGACGGCAGTGCGCGTGCGCCAGGAGGAGGGAGCCCATGATAATAGGTTCTTGGAAATAATTAAAATATCCCTGCCTTTTCTTAGAACTAGTTGTACTAACCCAGCCCATGGTAATGAATATGTACACTGCAGAACCATATAAGGGACAGTTGATGCAACATACAGTGTGCAAGCTAGGAGGAGCTATCCCCCTTGCACCCGGCGCCGTAATAAACATACCTGCTTTATAACTCTTCTGAGTTGTGAAGTTTGATTCCACACGTCACCATGAAGGCGTTTCCTCCATTGCATGTGGTTTTAGTGCTGCTGGGTTTGTCTGCTAAGCCCCAGGGAAGGGAATGGTCCTGCTCAAGAGGAGCAAAAGCATTAACACAGGGCTAATGCTCAGTGTCATGGGTTGTCCATCCAGATATCAGCAGAAGACACACACAGGCCAGCATATGGGAGCTTAGCCCTGAGGAAGGCTTGGCTGGAGCTCAGCTCTGAGATGTGTCCTGCAGATACGCAGCCTGACCCTGTCCCTCTGGGAGGCACACAGTGCACACAGGCATCTCTCCTGGCAAAACGGGTCTTTCTGGCACCTCCCCGAAGTGGTTTAATGCATGCAGGTCTGCAATAGGAGGGACAACATGTTGTAACAAGTGGTCCTCATGATGCCACCTCTTAAAGGGCTGCCCAGGACCCGCTGTCTGGGGCACAAAGGGGAATCAGTCACCCTTCAGGGAATATGGGTGGCCAAGGACGAGAGAGGCTGAGATCCAGCGCAAGAGGATTTCTTTTCAGCTGATCTAGGAAACGCGCAGCCTAATCTGAGTCCTGCTGGATAACCTTGGGTAGTTGTTTTGGCTCTCTGGGCTTCGTGGTTCCTCCCTCCAAAACAGGGCTGATATTCCCCTCCCGAGTGAAATGCCTGGAGACCCGCAGATGCAGGAACTACCACTGTGCTACCACCACCACCGCTTTCAGCGACCTGGCTCTTCCAGGACAGTGGGTTAAACTATTTTTGAATTGACATATTCTACAATTTTTCTGGCCCCTTTAATAAACTAGAGCCATCCACCACCAGTTACCCTTCACAGACCCCTTACTAAGGGAGCCAAAGAGGTGCTGTCAGATATAGGGTGATCACCACAGGTTTATTTTGGAGGTTAAAAACTCCTTATATTTTTGGTTTGTGGCTTCCTTAGCAATGGCGATGATATCTTGAGAACATCTCTGTTCCCTGCATTTGAATCTGCAGTTAGGCATGGTGAAGTTGCACAAGGCGTCTTAAGCAAACAAGCAGAAAAGGTCTTTAGCCATAGTTGGGAGCAATTTTACAAAGCCTCTCATTTGCAGGCACCGAGCAGTGTTGCTGTTGTGAGAGTACTTTGCCGGCTTTGTTCCACTTCCTCTATACACAGCAGTTTCTTTTTTAGATTCCTGTGCATGTGCTAACGGCGGCATGTCCAGGTAACCAGGGGTCCCCAACCGTTTACTGCATCACACCACCTTCCCTGCAAAACTAACCAGTGCAACAGGGATGTTTCTGGTTTTCCTCTGCCTTTCTCGTTCTTCTTGCCTGTGCAAAGTTCCCTGGGCATGGACAGGGGCAGGGACAGGGACAGTCGGTGCCAATGCCGGGCACCAATGAAGCATCCCTGGCGCACCAAACCGAGCCGTGCCAATGATGTGATTTGAACTGAGCTGGGCTGAAACGACCCGAATGGGGCTGAACTGAGCTGTGCCCAGCTGAGCCATGCCAAGCTGATCCAAACAGAACCTAGCTGAGCTGAGCTGAGCCAAACTGCACTGCCTGAACTGAGCTGAACCAAGCCAATTTGATCCGAACCGAGCCATGCCGAGCTGGTTCGACTCGGGCCATGCTGATGCGGAAAGAACTGAGCCCGGCCGTGCCGGACCGAGCCTAGCTGGG